TAAAAAAGGTTGACTTGTATTATCAATAGAATTTACAACATTCAACATATAACCGCATGGTTTATGTTCCTGATACGTGCCCTTGATGCCATTATTTGAATTTACAGTTATACACTCAAAATCTCCATAAACAACAAATGGACATTTTAATTTTGTATTGTGTTTTTCAAATTCAATATAACTACCTTCTTTTGGTAATTTAAACTGTTGTCCATGTGTTGCCATACAACCAGTTTCATAATGTTTTGTTAATAAATCCTTTCTAGAAAAAGCGTGAGAACAATAATGACAATAATGTTTTGGTTGGTCATTTTTGTTTGTTTGCCAGTTCATTAGACGACTTAGACTTTTAATAACTACATAATGATTATTATTATTGATTTCAATTTTCAAAAGGTTTATTTGATGTTTAGCATCTCTTGTTTTAGTTCTGTAATCAATTATAATTTTTTCGTCATTCAAAGTATCATCAATTTCATAAACATTGATTGAAACTAACTTACTATTATTTTCTTCAAACCTTTCAATATCTTTATTACCAGTTGGAAATTTAACACCTTCCCAGTTTAAGATATTGTCATTTAATTTGTTGTAATGGAACATTTCTTGGGAATTTGATTTATTAATTATATCAAACACTACACTTTGAACACTATATTTAAAACATTTGTTATCTTTGTTTTTGATATTAATACATGCCTTTTTTAGTTTAATCCATTCTGGTAAATCTATATAACTACCCGCCCTAGTTGGGTCATATTTGTCATAATGGATTGTTATTGATAATATCTTTATAAATTTTAAATTAGATGCTGAACCTTCTAACTTTTCTATGTTCAATAAAATCTCTTTGATTGATTTTTCAATTGCTTCATCCAAATCGGTTTCATTATAAATGTTTGACCTTGTAGCAGGTAAATTATAAAGTATCTCTGTATGTTTTATTACTCCATCATCATCATAATAATGATAAAATAAACCTTCTGCCCTTATATTCAGTTTCATAGCTCTATTAGTTTTCAAAAAGGTTAAAAGTCTATCTTTTTGGTGGTGTATCATTGATAGTGCCTTTTCACCTTGAAAATGTTTATTTACTAGTTTTATATAATTAGCATAACTTTTGAAAGCTGATTGTTGGTCTGTTACTTGGAATTTATTTTTGATTGCATATTTTGTCATTGCATTTTTCATTCTTTGTTTTAGGTATGTTGAGCGCAATGTTTTTGTGCATAACTATTATACTCATTAGTTCTTGCTTCTGATTTTAATTTCTTGTTCAAAACATTTGAGATGGGTTGTTCTTTGTTGTATCTAAATTTTCTACCATCTATAATTATTGATTTTAATTCCTTGTTTCCTCTTTTTGGAATTTCCGCTTTATCATTATTCAACAGATAATCTATAACATGTTTCATAATACTATACTATATAAATTTAATGTGTTTATTTCTTTAAGTGACTTTTTAGAAAAATATACTTAAAGATTTAATACCTTAATATATTATAAATAGAAATGGTTGAATTTACTAAAAAAGAGCAAGAAAAAATTATTGATGACTTTTTGAATAAAATAAAAGTTAATGACATTATCAGTAGTTGTAAATGTAAACTAATAAATGAAAAAACAGGACTAACTAAGTTAAATTTACCTAATCCAATTGTTAAAAACATTTGTGATTTTAATTATGTTGAATGCGAGAAATGTTTTTTATTAAGAAATGCAAAGCAAGTTTTACATAAAAGTAATTTACATTCAACATTGAGACAATGTATTTATGATAAATACAAATTGGAATTTGAAGAAAATACATTTCTAAATGATGACTCATCATTAAGAACATATTGTTTTATAAAGTTAAATACATTTCCTACATATGAAAAAGTGAAAAAATATATACTGCAAGATAACGAAACATATATTTTAAAATTTTATAATGATATTAAATATTACTACGAAAAATCATATGAAGTTAGTTATGGTGGCAAAACTGGAACAACAAGACCAATTGAAGAATTTAATAATAAAATGATATTTAAATTTATTGATGAGTATGATTTATCAAATAATAAAATTGAAAATGATTGCAAGGAAACATTTTTAAACTACATAAAACAAAGAAACCAAGAATTGAAAATCATAATTGATAAAATATGTGATTATATTAAGGATGAACAGAAGAACAATATAATAGGTAAAGTAATATATGGTGATGTGATAAATGATATTAAAAGTGTTTTAGGAAACTGGGGCATAGATTTTTGCATTTATGATTTTGCTGATAGAAAATATCCATTTAAAAATAATAAACAGAACTTTAAACAAATACCAAAGATTACAAAGGAATATTTAAATACTAATGACTTTGATTAAAACCATACTATAATAATAACATGTAAAATCTTATATGTTATAATTATACTGTACTTATAGTTTGTAAAGATTGAAATATTTTATTTTTCCTAATTTGCTTGACTCTTTCAAAGTGCGTTGTTTGAACTT